GACTTTCTACTTGGGGACCTTGATATAAATGTAGCGGAGTAAAAAGGACGATATTTGTCTTTCAAATGTAGTGAAGTTGAAGTAGCAAGTTTCCAGAAAAAATAATACTCAAGTAAAGTAGATACTCAAAAAGTGTACTTAAGTACAGTACTTAAGTAAATGTACCTCGTTACTGTCCACCTCTGCAATCAGGATGGACTATTTTCTAAATGACTCTCATTTCCAGCATTTTGTTCAACTAGTAGGCCTACTATAATACTAAATATGTAAAAAAAATACTAAATGTAAACATATTAGCCTACTTCCAGGGCTTGATTCAGGCATTACAGATTTTGATTCTAAATTCCTGGCAGCATGTGCAGTTTACTCCACGGATCTAGCCTATATATTGTCGTTTCAATACAGATACAGGCCAGTGTAGCCGATAACGATACTCGTATACCTTAACTGATCTTTTAGATTATATTAAATCAAAGACTATAGAATACCTTAAAAGGACTTTGTTTAAGTGGGTAGAATTACCTACTTTATTTTTTTAAATATTTGAAAACCGTGTCTTTATAATATTAAACACTAACTGCAAAATATTGTTTTTGACACCTGCATCTGTTAACTCTGGACGAAGGCAAATGGGCTCGTTTTTATTCCTTTTGGGCGGGTTTTGAGGCGGCTTTGGGCTGGATTTTACTAGGACCTGGCAACCCGATACTGATGACTTCCTGCTTGAAAAAGTGAAACAAACTGCAGCGTGTGTACATTCAAAAAGTGTTAACAGTGTTCTGAGTGACACTGTGATGATATATTGGACCAAACAAAAAGCGCTTCAACTTGTACTACTCTTTAGAAAACAATGTATAACGTTACCTTTTTACTGAAACAAACTTCTTGACGGTTACGGTACGTTAGGTCTTCTTGGCTCGTTTTGTTCCCGCTTGATATTGTTTTGATTTCCCTGACAACTGAACGACGCCATAGGTGGAGATAGAGATGAGCCTGCCACAGGTGAGTTTGCTAACAGTCATGCTAAAACCCTGTCAACGATATTATTTATCATTTAAGGATTTAATGTCAGGACTCCAGTTAGTTAGTTAAACTACTTACTCGCTACTACTACTGTTTATTAGTGTCTTTAGACGTAAGCGTGACGTCAGTCAGTTCTTAAAAAAGGCCTGATTTTAAAACAAATGCAGATACCCTGTTAATAAATCAGCTATAATTATTATTTTCAAATTCATTGCAGATATTCACTGCAGTGAGACTACACCCGCCAAATTCAGTTTCAAGCAAAAGCAAGATTGTGAAACACAAATATGAAGATTCGAATGGTGTTGCCAGCGGGTCGTTTCGAGAGGCTGAAGATATGTATAGGAGACGTATAATTGTGCCAACAACATGTGATGGAAGTAGGGATCTAAGACAAGAGCAGAGACCAGCTCAAAGTAACTCTTTAGTAGTTGAACCAGTTAAGGTTGATGGCATTGTTATGGATTACATTGAAAAAATGAAATCCAAGGAACTTGACATAATTAAAAAAAGGAATGCGGTTATCATGAAGCGAGATGATAGATATATGACCTTTATGTCTCCGTCTGGTAAGAGCGTTCACGCTCAGTTTGCACGAGAACAGTTTATAACATTGTATCAAAAGATTGCAACGGGGCTGCAAACTAGGACATACGATTGCAGTCAAGGAATTATTGCGCATTGCCAAGCAGAATTTCCAGAACTCCTAATCACTCATAAAGATGAAAGGCGATTGCAACTGACTGGCAACTTCATTAGCCTTGAAAGATTTGAGACATTTTCGAATGGGAGTGCACAGACATATTCACACTACCAAACCCCAAATAAAACAAAAGTCAATGACACACCTTACAAGCAACCTGTGAAACAACAGAAATCCATAGACCAAGCCAAAGATGAGGCGTGTCCAATTTGTTTGGAAACACTCAAGATATCTGAATGCACAGTCTTGTCTAAATGTAAACATAGATTTTGTAAAGACTGTTTGGAGAGAGCTTTCCATGTGAAGCCAACTTGTCCGATATGCGGAGAGATATACGGCAGTCTTACAGGGACGCAACCAAAAGGAGGAACCATGACTGTCTCATCAGACAGGTCCTCTCTACCTGGATATGAAAGATATGGTACAATCATAATTAACTACCATATACCAAGTGGATATCAGGGGGTGAGTACAAATGCAATGAAGTGTTAGACATTCTTCTGCTTTAAGCTGTTCGTTATGACATCAATCAGTTACACGGTTGAAATGTTGTTTTTGATTACCTCATACTCTGCAGGATGAACACCCAAACCCAGGCATGCCGTACCAGGGTGCGACCCGCATAGCTTACCTCCCTTACTCAACAGAGGGGAATAAGGTACTGAAGCTTCTGCAGAGGGCATTCGACCAGCGACTCACTTTCACCATTGGACGCTCATCTACTACTGGACAGAACAATGTGGTAACCTGGAATGACATTCACCATAAGACGTCTCGTTATGGAGGGCCAACCTGGTGAGTACACAGTTTGGGTGTTGTCATCATTTTTGGGTGGTTGCCTTCTTTGAGACAAGCCCTTTTATTTTTAGCACCGTTTAATTTACAATAGCTATTATAAGGGTCGTAATTATGTTTTCTTCTTTGTAGCTATGGTTACCCAGATCCAGACTACCTGAAACGAGTACAAGATGAACTGAAAGCAAAAGGAATCGACTAACTACTTGTAATCAGTTCAGACACTATTATTACAACCAGTAGTCATATTAAAACAAGGACAAGAATAAAGTAATATTTAAGTCTTGTGATCACTAATCAAGGTAAAGCACTTTTCTTTCTTTTTTTTACAGGCATTCTTAATGTTTAACACAGTTTTGAATGTATGAATCTCATGAAGCAGTATAAGAGAAACAGAGTTAAGGGTTATTCAGTGCATTTTTGCATTCCACTGCGCTACCTTTTCATTGTTTTAACAAGGAGATGTTTGACCATTGCTTTAATGTCTTTTGCAGCATCACATGTGACAGCATTTTCAAAATGCCCCTAAGAAAATCTACTATTATGATGTTATGTATGCAGTATACCTTGTTTGTTTTACTTTAAAAATAATCATTGCTATATTATATTGTGATTAGATTTTTTAAATGGATGAACATGCAGTAAAATTAAGTGTCATGTAGTGTATAGAAAATTATAGAGCCTCGGCAGCAAAAAACTCATGACCAGTGTTCATGAGAAACTAATCAAACCAAGAGCAGGTCATTTTAGTAACACTAAACCATTCCCATTGATATCAGGCTTTTTAATATTAACTTTTTTTTTTTCTGGTTCATTTATTGTTTACCTTTGTTTTGATTTTGGTGGATTGTAGTATTAAAACTAGGATGAAATGCAAAAGTGTACATGAACTTCATTAATTTAAATTCAAATGCTTTGTTTTTCCCCTCTCAGAAAGATGCTACATTGCAGAAAGATTTACTGGTATTTAGGCATCATATACAAATAATAATAATAATCGATGACTTACCTGGCCCAAGTGTCCTGGCTTTTGGCCAACTTGAGTCAATGATTAGCCTGTTCTAGCACTGATTTACAGAGGTACAGCTAAATTAGTAACATATAAGATTTTATGAGAAAAACAGCAATAGGACCACTGGAATAATTTGTATTTGTGCTTTAGAGGACAGACTCTTGAAATGAAATGGCTGATCTATTCTACAACTTTATAAAAAATCGCCATGCACTGCTTTTCCCCTCATAAACATATTTTGACTACATCTTAATGCTGTCAGCAGCCATTTTGAAGTTGTTTGTTGTGGACGGGCCAGGTGTTTCATGGTTGTAACAAAGGAACGGCTCTTGCGTTTGGAAAATGGCTCCGGATCAAGGTGAGTGAGGCTAGTAAGGCTGCAGACTTGTGTGCTTGAACTGGTGTTCTGCAGTATTTAGGGTTTTACATGTGATTTCATTTAGAAAGAAAAAAAGACAAAAATGTCTGAATTATTGGCAAATCTGAATTTAATGAACAGAAACAGATACATAAGCTACTATTTCCATAACTTGTAAAAAGCCAAAAAGCTTGATCCGTTCGCAAAATAAGGAAAAAGTAAAAACGTACTACAGAAAATATTTGGCCTCCATGTTGCTGTGGCATTATTTACACTATATACAGTATTTTCATATATGACAGTACTGTCAGGTTTGCCATTAAATCCTTATCGATAAGGCACCAAATGCTAAGTAGCATGATCCTTTTTAACCAAATTGTGCGGAAAATGTACAAAACTATACAAATAGACCCATCACATATGAACATGGTCCATCACAATGAAAAAATATAAACAAAAATAAGTTGCTGTTAGATGTTTTGCAACAGTTATGAGTGTACATGCATGTAAGAACTACCCCCATCTTAATCCTTGAAAGATATTTAAACAATATTTATTAACTGATTAGATTGTGGATTTGAAAGAATAATCAATAAAATTAATCTGATTTACATCGTTTTTTTAGTAATGGCAAACTTGACAATGCGTAATGATTATATAAACTTTCACTTTAGATTTAATGTAATATTAAGCTGTTGCTATTCAATTGAAACTATAATGGAGTCAATGGAATATATTGCAAGTGAACATCATATGAATTTACCAGTATTTCAGAGTCCCATGGGAAATACAAAATACTTTTCAGCACACAAAATAATCAATACCACATATTTAATGTGCCCATATTTTAATAAAACCCATAATTCTGCCCATAAGTGAGAAAAAAAACGTTGTGGTGCTACATCTTGACTTTATGTAAAAGTTGCATTTCCTCGTATAGTATTTTTAATACAATTTAATAAATTTTAACCAAACTACCTTTCCTTATACCAATATTGGGTGATCATTCTCAAAAAAAGATTTAGTGATTTCAATGATCGAACAATTTAATGTTTCGAAAGTAAAGTTAACAACCACAGAGGTGTCTAAACATCACTATAAAGAATTGCAAAAATTGAACAGAATACTCGCACATTTAAACCTTCTGTTAATACATTACAATGTATAAACAACAAGCAGCAAACACTTATTCTGCCTTAAAATCACCTTACAAAAAAGTTTTATATTGAAATATTCAAAGACATTTTACAATTGGGTGCCGATTTTTGTCCATTATTTTAAAAAATCTGAAAACGTAAGGAAAGCAGCATGCATCTTATGTTTAGTTGTCGCTGCTGAATATATAAAGTCTTTTCATTTTTTTGTATTTTTAATCTTAATTTTTTTTCATACTTGGTATAGTCACTCAAATGAAAACGTTACAGCAATACTGTACGTTTAAAATGACGATGTTAATGAAGTGGCAGGTTCAGTACATCTGGGCAAATTCTAAACTGAGGCCTTTAGAAATTGTAAACCGACAGCTACTTTTAAGTAGCAGAAAATATTAGCTGTAGCACAGGGATTTTGTTTTTAAACTACACTTGTCAAAGCTCTCCATCAGCTGTAAATGCAGTCAACATCAGGAGTTGCTCGCTTGTGTTCAGCACTGTCAAACAATAAATACGTCTGTCTTTCAAAGGCATTTAAGATTATATGGAAGTTTGAAACAACTATCATACATTAAGAAAAATAAAGTGCATATACAGTAGACACCTTTTGTATGCACAAATTAATGTACTTTAACAAGTACAACTCTTTAGTAAACAAGGTCAGATGGCGCATATCCTCACAGGAATATTGTATTTTCTCCAGGAAAGTCTCAAAATACTGTATTCTTCAAAGTGTTTCATTTTTTGTATTCTTTACAAAAAATAAGTAGTCTATCAGTTGAACTGAGAGACATACCATGCTCTTTCAAAATCTACCTTGTATTTATAAACTTAGCAAAATGGTAATAGTTTGAATAGCCAGTGTAAATATGCATGTATCCCAGGGGAACAGTAGAAATAGTGTATTCTGAAGATTGCGAATATGCTTCTTGTTTTTTTGTGTGTGTATTTGGGGTTACCAAAAATACATGTGGTATTGGCCTCCTACGCTCAAATGTCCAGCTTTGGGAAAGAGGTCAAGGCAGCGGTATTGTGTTCAAACTCTTTCATCCAGTAGCCGTTTGATTGCCGATGACTCGCAGGATCTCCCTATGAATGCCAGGGTCCTGTGTGTTTATACTTGTGTCACCTACCTGTCCGTCCTCATAACTAGTTCACAAGTGGTTGAAGGGGGAAAAAACACAAAAAAAACAGAGACTTTCAGTTAGATTTTTCTGCTATTCTTTAGTTGTAGTTCGCAAAAAAAAAAAAAAAAAGACTTTCAGTTCAATTTAGGTTCAGTACTTTTGCTATTAACACATTCTGCTTTTTATGTTCTGATGGAATGAATGCATTCAATATGTGAGGTACACACTAAATTTTTAATTTTACAGATATATGCTGAGATAGACATAAATGTACTTACACAAAGAAAAAACGTGTGCAGACATGATCTGTATTTGGAACTACCCAGATGTCCCCATGCTTGTGCAGGTCTGGAGATGTAATAACTGTTACATATATATAAAAAAGAAGTGATTATTAACATGATAAATATTGCAGATGATGGTATAAATCTTTGTTAAATGTGTACCTTCACATAAGGCTATGCATTTCAGGTTGCGGCTCTGCAGAAACTGCGGGTTCTGGCCTTTCTTCTGTGACTGAAAGCAAAAAAGTCCTGCAGGTTTCAGGATGCCAAGAATTTTTCTTTTTTTAAAGAAAGGCATTCTAATAATGACCGTGTCAGGTGATTGGGAAAAAAAGTAGTAATACCAAAAAAACGAAATACCTGCAAATTAATATTGGACTTGTTGGCAGCAGTTTCATCTTTTGAAGCAACTTTCTGCTGTTTTTTATTCATCCCTGTTCCACAAAAAGACACAGTTATGTCAAGCAATTATACATTTATTGCATATATTTATGTAGAAAGTAGAGGAGTTTTGCTCCTAAAGGTTTTAAGACCTGAGTAGCCAAAGGATATGCTTGATAATGGACTGAGATAGATTCCACTCCCATAGATAGCGCCATGGAGCTGCGAACAAAACAATGATTCAGTATGGCATTGAGTTAAATCACTGCAAACTGTTTAACTTCTCAAAATATGTTTGGTGAAATATGTTTGCAGAAATACCCAGTAACCTCATACAGTACACACAACTGGATTTAAAGACATTTAAGTTTTATATTTTGGTGTAAGAAACATCCAGTGAATAAACCTCTTAAGTTCCTTCTTACATAAATTTAGAGATGTGGTGTAAAAAGGTCAGTGTACATCAGTCTGCTCAGATGTTTAAGAGGTTTACATAATGCATTATGCATGTATGTATACACTATAAAAACTATTAAAAAAAACAGCTTCATCCACACTTCATCTCAGCTTGTTTTCTATAAAAACATCTTTCCCCTCAACCCTTTTTATGATCGGTCTCTTTAAAGAACCAGACACCGTGGGTAATGCATCTGCATCATAATTAGATGCAAGTACCTGAAGCCTCGTGTTTGATGCCACGACCAAACCATTCCTCAAAATGGAGTGCCAGTTTTCTATGTGTGATCCACTGAAAGAGAGAGGGAGAAAGAGCCAGTCAGTTTGTCTTTTAAAAACTGGAAAATCAACAACCAGTGTTCTCAAGTCAGCAAGAGACTTCACACCTGCACAGCTGTGGCTTTTAGACTTGTGCAAAAGACAGATTTGAATTCTATGACTCGCTTGCTGTACAGTTGAAAAACAACTGAACTAGTTAAGACAGCTGGAACTGGATTCCTTTTATTGTGACACTGAAATGTACTTCCAAATTTAGAATATTTATTATTAGTGGACATAATCACAATGCCATAAAACATTTGAAGTAAGAAATTATTGCTTTTCTGTTATGTCTTGCAGTGCAAACCAGGCTTGTGGCATCTACAACATTTGTTCAGCACACCCACAGACCATTCACAGACTGCCTGATTCACATTGCACACAAAACTGCCAAGAGCTTGCCAAAATGGCAAGAATGGACAGATACTGTAATATACTTAGGGACCAGATAAAACACGTTTTCCTTGTCATGAATCATGAATTTGTAATGATGTGGGTCAGATCTGAAGATTCTTAGGTAAATGCTGTATTGGGTGTTTAAAATGGAACTCACTGGAAAGCAAAGGTGCTCCCAAAGAGGCCTTTGGCAGCCCTAAAGTTGGATTCTTTGGCTGGTGGACTGCTGAGCAGGAGGAACTGATGGGGTGTGTGCATGAACTTCAGTTGCTGTTGTGAGAAAAACAAGATGTAAGAGCATACACTTGAAACGTTACGCCTTAATCATTTTCTCAGCTTGAGACTGAGATATTGAAAAGTTCCTCTGAATTTAAAACTTTTCAAATG